TTCCTATGAGAAATGGGCCGTTGTTTTCATAACCAGGAAAAATTCTAAGTTTTTAAACTCTGTTTTTTTTTTAAACTCTGTAATTTTTAAGCACCCAGCTTTTATGTTTAATAACCCCAAAGAAGAAGCTGATGAGGTAATTACTGCAGAGTTCTATTGCTAATTAAGCCATGGGGACACTCTGCAAGGGGCCAGAGGGAGAACCCCAAAACTCAGGACTTCAGAGCAAGAGAGCATTTGAGGAAAGAAGCCCCAGAGAACCAGGCCATGGAGAAAGCAGGCTGAGACCCCTCATCTCCACCCCATGCGGGGCACCCATAAACAGCATAGGAACGCCAAACCTAGAGTCTGGGGGGGAGGGCTGTGTCTGTGTGTCTGTCTGCAGCTCAGGAAGGGAGTAGATGCTCTGAGGGTTTCACCCTCTCCGGGCCATGAGCAGAGGTGGACATGTCCCTGCAGAGGGGCATGGCCCCCGCCCTCTCCACACTGAGCCTCCAGCCATCTCAAGTTGCCACTGAGCAGCTTACCCACAGTGGGCCCATCCAGCCACCTGGCCAGCCCCAGGCCTCGTTCACTCAGATACTGTGCTTGGTCCCATAGGTGCTTACCAAGGCCTCCAGTGGGCAATGGGCTCCCAGCCTGGTGGGGATGGTCCACTGAGAATAAGACCTAAGTCCCAGGCAGTGATGAACATCGTGAACAAGTTGGGATGAGAACTGGGTAGTGCGAGCAGGGCAGCTACTTAATCTCATCAGATGAACAAAGAGGGCACTCTGAGGAGGTAACATCAGATCAAGATCTGGGCAAGCAGGGAGTCGAAGGACACAGCGGTCTGGGGCTCAGCAGGCAGACAGGTCAGGGAAGAACCCACTGGACACATACTTAGACATACACACACAGAAGTTGTCAAGAGAGACTGAGACAGTGGCTCAGGGAGGACTAGACTCAGTGGGTCCCTGGATCTGGTCCCCTGACCCGTACCATCAGCATGACCTGGTCGCCCATTAGAAATGCACTTCACCAGCATCCACCACAGGCTGAACTGGAAACAAAGGGGGTGGGGTGAACAGGTGACTTGCAGGTGACTCTAATCCACACCAGGGTTTGAGAATGAAATAACTACATCAGCAGTCCTCCAGGGAGATTTTGCCCCCAGGGGACACCTGGCAAGTCTGAAGACATTTTCAACAGTCACAACCAGGGACTGGGCTACTACTGTCATCTCGAGGGCAGAGGCCAGGGATGCTGCTAAACATCTAACCATGCACAGGACACCCTACAGCAGAGAAGGACCCCATTACCAATGTCAGTGGTGCTGAGAAACCCACTCGGGATCAAAAGGCCCCCCACCTGGTTGCACAGAAAAGGACAAGTTCCGAGTCCCCACGGAAACATTCTAAACAGCTGACCCTGGTAACTCTTCATTTAGTCTCTGGTCCTGCTCTCTGGAAACCAGGAAAAGAGCTGAGAGTGGAGGGAAAAGACAGCAATGGATGGCCCTGCAGCGACCGCTGTGTGTTGGGCGGGAGAAAGGAATAGAGGGATGAGCAGGGAGCTGAGACAGGGCAATGCAGCAAAAACCCAGGGGGGAGAGAGTGGTGAGAAGAAGGGGGCCAGAAGAGCAGTGAAGGAACGAAATGAGGAGGTGGCACGTGACTGGATCGGGGAAAGGTCCACAAGGGACCAAAGCCACAGTCTGAGAGCTGAGAGAACTCCTCAAGACTATGAACTCAGAGGCAGGAAAGGCGATGGGGATGCCGAGTTGCCTTGTGAAAATTTTAAGTTGTGGGGAAAATCCTGACCATACTTGTGGGCACAGAGTGAGGATTTGCAGACAGGAACCCTGGAAAGCTGCCTACAGAATCATGAGTGGAGGAACGATGTGGAAAGAGCATGATGGTTGGTCCTCAAGGAAAGTCCTTCACCCTTGCCAGACAGTCCACAGCCACAGACGCAGTCACAGAGAGATTCAGCACACTAATAAGGCCACAAAAAGATGCTCACACTAGCCAGCAATCACAGAGCCACAACTTAACACGAAACACCCCCATGTCACCCTTCACAAGAGAGAAAGCCAGGTTGACGACCCCAGACATCGGGAAGGCTTTGGAGAAAGGATGCACTCAGACCATGGGTCCATTTTCCAGGAGGAAGTGATATGAGAAAAATTTTAAATGTGAGCCTCCTGTGACCTAGACACACCCTACAGGAAATTCACATGGGAGCACAAGGAGGCTTTGCCTGGATGACCACTGTTGGATCACTTGTCATGGGTGAAAAATGGAAACACACATATAGCTCAACTGAGAGAAACATATTCTTCAGGATACTATACAGTTATTAAGAAAAGGAGATGGAGATATACTTGCCGCGTGGTGAGACCTCCTCCAAGATCCAGTGTTGAGTAGAAACCCAAACTGGAGAACCTTCCATGTGGTGTGAAACCACTTGTGTTCTCTTAAATGCCTTTCCCAAGAACCTGTAGATATAAACACGCAGGGAAAAGTGGAGATGCTCCACGGAGCTCATCACAGAGATAACATCCAGAGAGGGAGGGAGAGGGGTGTTGCTGCTTACTTTCCTGTGATATTCTGAGTTTCTGTTGTGACAATACCGATGCATTAAAAATGCACTTTGGAGGGGAAAAGGGCAAATACCATCACGAGCTGTTTTATAAAAACAAATAAACTGTTGTTTCCAAAGATGGAAGCAGGTGACTGTGCACCAGGTCATTCCACAGCCAGCTCACCAGCCTCACTTCAGAGCAGCAGGTGGATGAATGGGAGAGGTTCTTCAGGGAAAGGGAACTGAAAGACTGGACTCTACAGCCTAGTGAAGAAATGCCTCAGGTGGGTATGACAACACCACCAGATTCTCTGGCAGCCAAGGTACCACGCATCGGGAGACAATCCCATTAGGACTGACTAATAGCAGACCATTTCGAACCATCTGAAAACGAATGTTTGAATGGGTTTGCCCAAAGAGAAGCATGCACTGCCTCAGAAAGAAGTGAGTCCCCCATCAAAAGAGGTATGCAAGCACACACCGAGCCAACCAAGCAAAGCAGTTGTAGAAAATGCTCCCCTAATCCACCCTTCCCACTTCAAGCTCACAGGCTGCTTCCGACCTGAAGATTCTGAATCTCTTTCCACCGGAACTCCTGTGTCTAACATAGTTCTTAAATACTTCATTTTTCCTTTTCAGTAAGGCTCTACCACTCACAGAATTATATCCATAGAGACTTTTCACCCCGGGTTTCTGCTTTTTGGGTCCCCTTTTGTGCATGTGAACCTGAGACTAACTTGGGCTTTCATCCTCCCACGCCATCACTGCATCACAGACATCCAAGCCCTTTCACCTCACTCCCAAGTGGACCGGCACGAGTCACCTGCCAAGCCCCGTGTTCCCACCCACGGAGGCATCAACTCACAGACAGCCAAAACGCTAAATTCTCCATAATTCCCATTTCAAGTTTGCATCCTCTCACTGCCAGGGAGACAAAAGGAGCTGAGAAGGATTCTCTCGTGACGAGCCACTCAACTTCCATAATTGGAACAATCATGGATGTGCATCTCCGACACAGAGAAAACCAATCCATCATGGAGTGCTGAAGGCTTAATCCCCGATTTCTAATAAAAGGATTAATTAAAGCCTTAAGGGTCTGCTTAGAGCTGCCTCTGCCTGAAACTCCAAGGAAATTAACTTGCTCTCCCAGATACCGGAAAACAAAAAGGCAGGGATTTCCTCAGCCTGGTACCTTAGTTTGACCAAGTGACACAGTGTCAACAGTCCTAACAAAGAAATCTTACAAGCCTTGTATGGGTTTATTGTTTAAAATTTCAGATTGGGCCCTGGCGCCCACAGAGCTGCCTCTAACGGGTCTTTCTTTGCAGTTAAATAGTGAAGCTGCTCTGTGTTCCAGCAAAGTGAAGGAATCTCCCCACAAAGCCGGATCACCCCAGCCCCAGGGTCCGTGTGGAGCTGCACGCCCACAAGTTAAGGTGATCAAGTCCCCATCTGGGTATGGTGCCTTCAGAGAGAAAGAGTCATCAGAGGAAGGTAAGAGCAACTTACTGTCAAAACAGAACGTGTGAAGGGACCCTACTTCCCTAGGATACGAATGGAGTCCTGTGGCTCCATACCAAAACACCAGCTTTGATTCTTTTTTTGAACCCTACATTTCAGAAGCTCAGACTTCTCCCTGTGAAGTGAAAATTGCCTTCTGGTGGAGAAAGGTTTTAATGATCACTTTGCTTCCTGCGTCTCCATGGTGACGGGCGCACAGCCCACCACCCCCCCTCGGCTTTATTAGGCCTTTCTTCCTCTCTGGAAAGTAATCAATCAAGCCTTATGGACGCCTTTGTGACCGGATTTATCACCTAAACAATCGACGTTGCTGTGGGGGTGGGGGAGTGAACGAAGTCCATATAATTTCATGAAATCGGGCTCCGTCCTGGCGCACGCACGCCCTTCATCTCCCCGTGGCAGCTCTGCCAACACACCTGTCCCGGGAGGCGGGTGGGCGCGCCCAGGTGCGCCAGGCCCCGCCGACTTGGGAGCCCCCTGGAAGCCCCTCTGCACGGCTGCCGCACTAAGCGCTCCCTGCCCGCGAGGGGACGCCCCAGCCAGGCCGCCGGGGCCACCGGAGCTGGGGTCCGGGGGAGGGAGGCAGAGCTCAGAGCCGGCACTGGCGGAGGCGGCCACGGTTCTGCCTCTGGTTCCCCAGGTGGTCAGCACCCGAAGGAAGGCAGCCCCTCGGAGAGGACAGCAAAGCCCACCAGTCCTCAAGGAGGGCGGATGCGGAGCGCCGGTCTCTACCAGGAAAACCGGCTCCTCCTCGGACAAAGGGCTCCCTGCCGCCTTACGGGGAGCCTGAGCGCCCGGGTCCTGCCGCGGCTCCCCAAACGCAGACCCGACGCGGAGCAGCGCCGGGGACTTGCGCCCAGCGCCCCCTGCCCTGGCCTTCCCCGCCCGCCCTGCCGCCCCCGCCCGCCCATTACCTGGGTTCTCCCCGGCGTCCGCGGAGGAGGTGGCCGAGGAGTCGGTGAGGACGCTGGGGTCACTCTGAGAGCGGCCCCGCGACACGAGGCAGCTGCTCTCGTCCTCGGACGCGGCCATGGGCCCGGCGGCGCTGGGGCAAGTTGGAGGGAGCCGCGTGCAATCAGAGCATCCAGGCGGCCAAGGTCACTGGCCAAGGGACTGGAGGGGGCGTTTTTTAAAAAAGGAAAATCAAAAAGGACAGGGAAAGGGAAGGAGCCGGAGGACGAGGCCAGGGCTGGCTTCAGGGCGGTGAGACAATAGCCTGGCGGCGGCAGCCAGGCACATCCCGGCGCGCGCGGCCTCGCTCCGTTATTTATTCGTGTTTATTCCCATTCTTCAGTCTATATTCCAGGAAAAAAAAAAAGTTGAACCAGGAAATAAAAACTTTTTCTTGTCAGTGTTTATTGCGTGCTTGGGGCAGGGGGTGATGTCCAGGAATTTCTGGGGGCGCTCCCTCCCCCCACCCCACCCCCCACCCCCCGGGGAAAGAAAGGAAAAAAGAAGAATCTTTGCTCTGGCAATAGCTTTAATCTGAAAGCTGTTCTTGGAGCATCTGTTGGAAAACATTAGGATTCTCCCATCATGCCGCGCGAGAGGAGCCTGACGTCACGAGAGAGGGGAGTGAGAGCCAGCGCCGTGATGGGGAGGGGTCTCAAATACCTGAACTGCACGCCGCCAGCCCTGAAGGAAGTGGGGGCTTACTCCAGAGTTCTGAATCGCCCACCCCCACCCCAGACGACCTCTAGAAACAAGGAGTCCGCATACTGCTTCCTCCCCCTCCCTCAGCTGGAGAGGGTGCCTTCCTCAGCTGGAGAGGGTGCCTCCCTCGGTGGAGGCAGGGCCTGATCTCCCCAGCAGCTTCCCAGAGGTTCCCGGCCAGGGTTTGCACTCTTGGGGATTTAGACTGGGGTCTTGCTGCCCAGGAACCCCCTGGAATGAGGGGGCGGGGCGTTCCCAACCTGTATCCCCGCCCACCGCATCCTCGTTCTCTCTGCCCACCCTTTCTTGCCCCACCTCTCCTTGCCCGGGAGGAGAGAGGCTGGAGGGGAGCCTGGCTCCTCCTGAGAGGCTTCCTCCAGATTCCTTGATGGAGTTGAGGAGGCCAGGGGAGGGAGGTGACACCGGCTAGGGCTGCCACTTACAGAGGTGTCCCCTGAGGTGTTAACGAGCAATTCTCACCCTGCTAGATGGAGGGGGGCGGGGGACAGGGGGCGGGGAAACACAGGCAACTCCCACATCAGCTGAGGCAGGGACCGGAGCGCAAGGAAGAAGAGGACAGCCTTGTAAAGGGCACAGAGGGACACGGTGTGGAGCGGTGTCACACAGCCTGGGCTAGGAAGGGGGCCAGATGCCTAGACGGCAGGCCCCCAGGGACACCGCGGGATCAAGCTCCGATGGGCGGGATCCCATCTCAGCCCCTCAAACCACTCCAGGGAGCAGGTGCCGCTCTCAGCCCCACTGCGATGACAAAACCAACTGGGGCTCAGAGAAGGAGCATGCCAGGGGTCCCGCAGCTGGGCAGGGCCCAGGGACTTTCCTGGGCTGCTCATTCATATCCGGCCCTGAAGCAGGGCTGGGGTGCAGGGGGAGCACCTGGCAGCATTGGGTGAAGGACCAGGACAGAACTAAGACATAAGGAAATGACGGTCCTCACTGCACACAGGGCTTTGGGCTCTTAGAAGCAGATGCCTCAGAGAAACCAAACCTTCTTTCCTTCCAACCCCCCCACAGCCCACTGTGTAGTGGATGGGCATGCCAGACATTGGGGATCCAACAGAAACAAATGAGAAACACTCCCAGTGAGTCTTCCAGGTGGCGGGAGGATAGAGCCGAGAACGGTGGCCAATAAATCAATAGAGGACCCCCAAAACATTTCATTAGAGTTGTCAACACGTTGTTGTTGTTTAGTCACTTAGTTGTGTCTGACTCTTTGCGACCCCATGGACAGTAAGTAGCACGCCAGGCTTCCCTGTCCTTCACCATCTCCCAGAGTTTGCTCAAACTCATGTCCATTGAGTTGGTGATGCTATCCAACCACCTCACCCTCTGTTGTCCCCTTCTCCTCCTGCCCTCAATCTTTCCCAGCATCAGGGTCTTTTCCAATGAGTCAGCTCTTCGCATCAGGTGGCCAAAGTGTTGGAGCTTCAGCATCAACACATACCATGAGGCAAAGAGGAACCTGGTAGGACATTTTACTAAATACTTTTTATCCACATAAAAATGTGCTGGGTGGGGAGCACCTGACTCTGGGCTGAGCCCTTTTCTGGGGTGGCACTGGGAGGGGCGTATCATTTCTTCCTCACAAGCCTCGGAGGTGGGAGCTACCTTAGAGGTGAGTGTACCTGCCCAGGTCATAAGCCAGGACAGGCAGGGCTGATGCTCCTGGTCCAGGATCTCTCCAAGTGTGTCCTCAGGCAGCCCCAAGAGCCTTGCTGAGTCCTAGCCCAAATCTAGGCAAGTCTCAGGAAGCCCTCAACCTCATCATCCGTGCCTCCCACTCTACATGACAAGACTGGCAGTGGGCCTAGCCAGCAGCAGATGCAGAGATGGACCAGTGGGGTTGGGGTGGGCAGGGGAGCAGGGGCGACAGCAGCCCAGGGTCATGGGCAAAAGGAGGAGAGAAGGAAGGTGGCCTCACAGGCTTCCAGCTGTGTTCCCCACCCCCCACCCTCATGCTTTAGGGCTTTCCCTACTCAGAACCTGTATTGCTACTGACAGTATTTTTCTTTTAATCAATCATTTTGTTTGGAAAGATCCCCTGGAGAAGGAAAGGGCAACCCACTGCAGTATTCTTGCCTGGAGAATCCCACGGACAGAGGAGCCTGGTGGGCTACAGTCCATGGGGTCACAGAGTCACACGACTGAAGTGACTCAGCACAGCACAGCATGGCTCAGCACTTAAATGCATTTTAAAGGAAAGCATCACTCCAGTGACAAGAATGTAGCCTGCCTGTCACACCAGGGGAGGACGAAGGACACAAGGATTGCCTATAGTTGCCAATATTCTCCCAATGCCTTGTCCATGTAAGTACCACCTAAAACCATTTCTAGTTCCCTTGGGTGGTCTACATAGCTGTGCCTGCTCCCCTTAAGTGCTTGGAGAGACAAAGGCACAGAAAACGATAAGACTTAGCATTTGCTCCAGGAGCTGAGGTGGAGATTGGCAGAGGGGAGGTGTGGTGCACAGGCAGAAGACAGGGATGACAACCAAAATGTAGTCCTTAAACATATATGTCAGTACCATATTGATTTGTTTGAGCCAGGAAGGGAAAGAGCTAGCCATTGTATTTTTCTCTGGCTTCGAAACGTTCCATAATAAAAACAGTTTCAGGTTTAAAATTAGTGACCCCACCTCTACAGATCAGGAGAAATAAAAGTCCGGTGAACTTCCAGAAGGAGAAACTTGGACCTTCCAAGTCACCCATGCCGAGACTGGGGCTGGCGGGAGGTCTGCAAAGATCTGGCCCCCGAGGTGTACGCAAGACTGCTGTCTGCAGGTTCCAGCCTGCAGGAGCCCCAGGAAATTGTGAAAGTCTCCAACTGTCTGTCCTCAAGATTTCTTCAGGGGCCCAGGAAACAGGTGTTTGTTGACTGAACCAATGAGTACGCACACAGTGGGGTCGACACATTGCTGCTCCAGGAGAAGGCGCTCAGCATCTTCAGAACCCCAGTAGCTCCAGGCTTTCAGGGACAGAGGTGGTCACTTCCTGACCTCCCTTCCCCAATCCTGATGTTTCTCCTGAAGCTCCAGGGAACTGTCCTTCCCCATCACAGGAACAGAATTAAACGAGAAAATTCAAATGCTTAAAAAGAACTATTCCAGCCAAGCTCTTAGGGAACCAAGCTCTCTGTCCAAGCTCTTAGGGAACCAACGAAAGAGGGTCCAGAGGTCATCCCCCAGGATAGGGATTCAAGACCAGAGGAAAGGGGAGGGTGAAGACAAAGCAGGTCCCCCAGAATCTGCAGTGAGGAGGGGAGCCCTGCCCTCTGCTGCTTACAGCAGGAACTGCACCCAACCGTGGCCCTTGGGAACTTCCCTGAGGGAGGGCTGACCTAGCCTTGAACTTGGCTTCGTTTGCCCTTTGCCCTTGGTGGGGTCTCCACCACTGGCCTTGCCCAATAGGCTACCCAGCGTGGTGCTTCATGCAGTGCCAGTTGTGGCTGTTTTCTAAACACACCCAACTCTTCTAAGACAAAATCCTTCATGTCAGTGACCATGGTCCCCACCCTGAAAGGCACGGCAGCCAGCGCTGGCCTGAGAAACGTGCTAAGCCCGCCTCGCAGTGTCTTCCATGCTCAGGCTGCTAGAGAAGCCCTTCCAAGCCAGAGTCTGAGATCCAGGCAGGAGAGGGGTTTTAATTACTTTCTGTGTCTGCCCTCTAGGTGAGGGTGGGGGAAGGGCATTGCTCACAGGGTGAGGGCATTCGACAGGGCACCCAGCTCTCGGGACACAAAAGTCCTCTGATGCAAGACACTGACCTTCTAACATCTTATGTGCCTTGAGCACCTGCAGGCGACCAGGTAGGACCACAGAGGATGGCAGTGATGGAGGCAGAAGAACGAGGAGCAAGAAGCCCAACCAGGGGAGGGACAGGGTGCCCTCTGCAGGATGGACAGAAAACAGCCCCAGGCAGGCTAATCTGTGTCACAGACCCTCCCATCCTGTCCTGGTTCATCCTATTTTCCTTCCTTGCCAGGGGATGTTTCCAGCTAATGAAGGGAAGCGCCAACTGATGCTTTTGAACTGTGGTGTTGGAGAAGACTCTTGAGAGTTCCTTAGAGTACAATGAGATCAAACCAGTCAATCCTGAAAGAAATCAGTCCTGAATATTCGGTGGAAGGACAGATGATGAAGCTGAAGCTCTAATACTTTGGCCACCTGATGGGAAAAGCTGACTCATTAGGAAAGACCCTGATGCTGAGAAAGACTGAAGGCAGGAGAAGAAGGGGATGATAGAGGATGAGATGGTTGGATGGCATCACCGACTCAATGGACAGGAGTTTGAGCAAGCTCTAGGAGATGGTGAAGGACAGGGAAGCCTGGCATCCATGGGGTCGCAAAGAGTCAGACACGACTG